TTACGGCCACATCACATTGAAACATCACCGGTTCTTCCTGTTCGATCACTGAATTTAAGCAACTTGGAGCCTGGTCAGTACCTAAATGGGTGACCACTTGGGAATATCAGGTGCTGAAGGCTTTGGCGTGACAGTAATGTAATGTAGAGCGGCTCGGAATTGTTAATCGGAGAGCCGAATTTCAATTCTAGTTGATTTCTTTATATACAATTATGCGTAAAATACTCTTGGGAAATATATTATTCCATCTCTTTTCCACCGACTATGGGTAATTAGTAAAATAACTGGGTTATTCTTATCTTTCTATCTCAATTTCCACATGTCTATCCGCCTTTCTGTTTCAAATCTTTATCAACGTTTCCTTTAATCATATCTACTTGTCTCCTATTTTCTGGCTTTAAATAACCTGCAAAGGGTTGATAAACCGTAAAAAACAAATCAATCAATCAATGAAATCTTCATATCTATCTATCGACTTGGGTTATTCTTATCTTTCTATCTCAATTTCCACATGTCTATCCGCCTGTTTTAAATCTTGATCAACCTCATCTTTAATCATATCTATTTGTCTTTTATTTTCTGGTGTTAAATAAACTGAAAAAGGTTGATGAATCGTAAAAAACGAATTAATCAATGAATTCCCTAACGCTATAATTGTTCATGTCATCGAGGTTTTTGACAATATGAACTACTTCGTCGTCAACCTGCTGTAGCACCGGCGAATCAGTCATAATCTTGGTTAGTCTTTGATTTAAATTTTCATTGTTTCAGATAATATGAATAGGCCACATTACATTTTATACATGGCTTGATTTGTGGACTGGAACTATTTTGGTTGTAATTTCTAAATTACACCCTTGTGCAAATTAATTGAACAGTCGCTTTAGTTTCCTTTCTTTCACCATACCGTCAGTTTAGACCCACTGAAGAGACAGGGTGTAATCGATTTCTATTTTTTCCTCACATTTGGTAACTACATCCGCGTCCTGGGCAAGACGATAAACTACATCCGACAACAAAGCCTTTGATCAGGAGGTTTGGAGGGGCATGAACCCACCTCTTAATCAGGTTCACAGCAATGGGCAAATATTTAACACACCAAAAGGGGTCAAAACACTATAAACATAAGTTTTAATAACATTTTTGGGCATTTATAGGACACCTAACAATAATTAATGCCATTTAACTGTTCCGTCCAGGGTAAGCCAATATACACAATCCAACAGCAAGGCCTCTGATCAGGAGGTTTTGAGGAGCCTGGAACCACCTCTTAATTGCTGGTGTTCCCAGGTCACCACCCTGACCCGGGGTGGTAGGACTTGTTAGGGTCCCATCTATGGACAAATAGTTAACCCCCGACCCCACAAAAAAGTGTCAAAACTCTATGAAAGTGTAAAAATAGGTTTTAATGCCAGCAATATTTTTTTGGAAAAGAAAAATATTACCAGCGATAGATTTTGTGGAAAAAATATTACTAGCAATACATTTTGGGAGAAAAATATTACCAGCAATAAATATCTTGTAGTCTTTAATTGACCCAAAGGGTTGATATGCTGTAAAACAAAACAAACCAAATCAATCAGATTAGGTCACTTGCAGTGGTGTTTGGCATTGAAAAATATTGCGTCATCCGTGATTGCATCAAATTTTTATCACGCCCAGAAATTATTGTCTCGACTGACGATTAGTTGTCCTACGGCAATTGTCTGCGATGATCGTTACTCCAAGGAAACGTACGAAAATTGTAACGCAGCACAATCCCACTTGCAAGCGATATTAGTGTGCAAATCAAAGTATTATAGACTGGTCTGTAAACTCTCTTAGTTTAAATTCATTCGATGATCTGTGGTCAATCTGCAAGGAACTACGTGGAATGGACATACGAAGTACTGACATGTACATCGGGTCATGTTTCATTGGAAAAATACGGAAAAAGGTAAGTAATAACGGAATTATTAGATTTGTTTCAATTAATTTGCACAAAGGTGTACTTGATTTTGGTGACTCCAGTTTGTAGTTCGATTTTTGTTCTGTTCATTTTACTGGCAAGCTTACTAGTGAGGAAATCAAAGTACTATAGACTGGCCCGAAAACTCTCCTGGTTTAAATCCAATCAAGAATTTGTGGACAATCTGCAAGGACCGGCTTCGTGGAATAGACCTACGAAGTACTAACATGTGCACTGGGTCATGTTTCATTGAAAAAATACGAAAAAAGTAAATAATAACAGAATTATTCGTTTTGTTTCAATTAATTTACACATGGGTGTATGTTCAGGTATTTCAACCATTATCCAAACATAAGAAGGCTAAGAACCATGCAGAAGATCTTACTATTAATTCTATTTCCCAGACGTGCCTGCAGTGCACTTATAATTTGCAAGAGAATGTTTGTTGAATGTCTTGTTGGAATTTTTCGCGTCCATTTAAAAGTTGTAGTACACATCCTTTTATGTTTGGGTTATTTTTATTTTTACGGCTTGTCTTTTGCATGTTATGTAAAGCCAAAAAAATGTTTTTTTTTATGTTAGTGATACAATTCTAACTAAGAAGTGAATTCATACCTTTCCTAAGGGTATTGGCGCCTAGGTGAATATAACAAACATAAGGAGAATTTGAACTCCTATTCCGAACTGTCGTTAATTACACCACTCGCACATCCAATCTTACAACACCTAGTATTCCCAAGCTGTCACCCATCTAGGTATAGAAAAGGCTCAACGTTGCTTAACGTGAAGTACCGGTGTTTCAACAGGATATGGTAATAAGCCTTCAGGTGGTGGTTTACAAAAGGTAGCTTAGATGGGGCACAAGGCCGAAAATATCGGTCCTTTACTGAGGATTGAACTCGCTACTCATTCGTACCTGTTCTACAAAGACAAGCTTGTTAACCATTACACCACGTAAATGTGGCCCCGTAAACAGTCTTATATTTGCATAATAGTGGAGACACCTGAACATAGTTTATAAATTAGAAGCGAGATTGTTCGGGTCCACAAATCTCACTACTCACTCGTACCTGTTCTAGCAAGAGAAGCTTGTTAACCATTACACCACGTAAATGTGGCCCCGTAAACAGTCTTATATTTGCATAATAGTGGAGACACCTGAATATAGTTTATAAATTAGAAGCGAGATTGTTCGGGCCCACAAATCTCACTACTCACTCGTACCTGTTCTAGCAAGACAAGCTTGTTAACCATTACACCACGTAAATGTGGCCCCGTAAACAGTCTTATATTTGCATAATGGTGGAGACACCTGAACATAGTTTATAAATTAGAAGCGAGACTGTTCGGGCCCACAAATCAAGTCGTGGATAAAATGTAATTTCTAAACGATTTGTTCTATTTCTGTGTGCCTTATGCCATTAAGAGATTGGCTGCTGTTGCTCGTCACAACTTCCTGACCTTTGTAGCTCTTCATCAACTTGTAATTAAGTCATGATGCTGTGTAACGGATAGCACGACACATAAATCCTTCGTATTTAACATTTTATTTAACACCAATATATATTCTTTTCTTAATCATTTTGTACCAAGCAAGGCAGTAAAGTCCCTAAGATTCAAGGGGTTACTGGGTGTAAAAAAAAAAAAAGAAAAAAAAAAGAAACATTATTAAGGAGAAACAACAATAAATGAAAAGTAATCAAGCAAGTAGATAATGATTGATATTGCATTTAAATTTGTGAAGATGAAAGTTGGCGAGAAAGTAAGAAAATGGAAGAGATTTCCACAAGCGAGAAGTGCGAGAGAAGAAACTTCTAGCATAGAACTTACACATCTACACATGGCTACATCAAGCCATTTCAACTGTAAAATGATAGGACCTTGCCGACAACCTAGTACTGCGCTTAAATTCATAAAGCCTGCGTACCACAGAGTGAATCTATCAAAACAGTTTCCATAAAAGTATTATAAAGGTAATGGCAAACTACATTACTGCAGTGTGAATGTGACCGACATCGAGATACCAGATCAGGACCAATAACATTGCGGACTTTTCTTTAGATTTTATCAAGGATCTTTAAATATATATAACATGATCACCGGGCCATGTGTAGCAGCAAAATTCAAAGCATGGATGGTAGACTTAAAAATATGTAAGATAGCTCAATCCTGTACGAATCTCATGAATAATTTGAAAGCCGCTGGAGTGAAATTTCTAGAGTTCTGAAATGCCCCATTTTCTAAAGGCTACTCATTTAAAATCTCTTTTAACGTTTGCGAACGAACATATTAATCAGCCTCATTTTGGGAGAATATAAAGGGTGTTTCATTAAGACGGATCAAAGTCAGCACTAAATAAATCAGTGTTACTGGTGAAAATTTATTTATTTCTCTACTGGATCATGTTATTTAAGTCATGGCAATTATGTGTAAAAAATAATGTCGTCCAAATATCCGCCAAATCTGAAAGAAAAAGAAATAAATATCATTAGACTCTTAAATTAATTCACATTGAAAATCGGTTCAAGTTATATATATATATATATATATATATATATATATATATATTGAACAATAAAAAAAATATTAAAAAATTAAAATCTTCAGACACACTGGCTTGTAGATTAATATTCTTTCGTTTTTTTTTTTATTATTATTTCATTTAGATTCCTCGACTAGTTTCGGCCAAAATGGCCATCATCGCGAGAAGAAATATTTCTGCTTGCTGGTAGCAGTAAACAACAGAAATGAATGTCCTGATGGAGAAAATGAACTTTTGTCTGTAGTTTTCATTTGTTTTTTTTTTTATTTTTTTATCTTTTTAACATGAATCTTTTAACATTCCTTGTGTTGGTCAAACAGTCTCTTTTAAGTTGTTATTTGAGATAAGAGCTGGATGGATCTATGCTTCTCTGAATTCCCTTGGTCAGTTTGACAGTTTTATTGGTCCGTGAGAGTGGATGTGTGTAAGTGTGTATATAGTCTTGTGTGGGTGAGAAATGTGGGTAGGTTTTGATTTGTACTGTTATATATTAATACTATCTATATTGTTAAATTTATGGTTTAGCCCGGCTGGATAGTGTGTTTTTAGACGTTGTATCCACTTATTTTCATGGAACTCTAAAATCTTTCTAATATTATCTGCTCTGAACTTTTCTATTCTCTCAATTAT